AGAGAGAGAGAGAGAGAGAGAGAGAGAGAGAGAGAGAGAGAGAGAGAGAGAGAGAGAGAGAGAGAGAGAGAGAGAGAGAGAGAGATGGCCGGGGGAGCGCATCAGATCCAGCCACTGAATCTGGACGTTTTCTTAGTATTCTGAGCCTTAAAAAAAAAACCGTCCAGATTCAGTGGTTGAATCTGATCCTCGCACCTGGGGACCTCTCTCTCTCTCCTTCGGATCAGATCTGGACGTTTTCTTAGCATTCTGAGCCTTAAAAAGAAAAACGTCCAGATTCAGTGGTTGAATCTGATCCTCGCCCCTGGAGACCTCTCTCTCTCTCTCTCCCTCTCTCTCTCTCTCCCTCTCTCTCTCTCTCTCCCCCCTTCTCTCGCTCTCTCTATGTACGCCTGCACTTTCAAAAGAAACGTTGAGATTCAGTGGCGGAATCTGATTCTCCCCCCCGCCTTGTCTCTCTCTGTATATATGCCATGTATGTCGAGATTCAGTGGCGGAATCTGACCCTCCCCCCCGCCTTGTCTTTCTCTGTATGTATGCCATGTCAGCCAGGGTTGGTGCCCGCCCCACCGCCCGACCTTCCGCGCGCCCCTCCGCCTGTTGCATACCGTAACGGTGCAGACCAGAACAAGAACCAACCTCTCTCGCACAGTACAGGATAGCGCAGTGGAAGGCTAAAATACCAATGATCATACCAATCAATGTCACAATGCAGACCAAACATACGTCATCATCATCGCAAGGTGTGAAGGGGCCTGGCGCTCACACAGGAAGAAGGCGCCAGTCCCAAACCATACACAGACGAGGAGGAGAGGAATTCAATGAAGAAGATGGGGAAGATGGGAACCCATCCTCTATTGCTGCTTCTTCATCCCCTTCTTCTGCTTCTTCTTCGTCCTCCTCTTCTTTCTCTACCTCCTCTTCTCTACCCTCTTCGTCATCTCCCCCCTCCTCCTCTACCTTGCCTCATTCATCATCTTCGTTATCAATACATTCCTGGTCAGATGAGGCGTCGCGGCGACCCTTTCGTCCAAGGCATCTACCGTTAAATCGGTCGTTGTAGACACCTCGTCGGCAAAGGCGCTCTCCGTTTCCACCACCGTTTCCAAGACAACGGCTTCGTTTGTCCATGGATAGTATAAACACTGCCCCCCCTGCAGGGGTTCGAGATCTGCTCCAACGCCATGCCCGCAACCGCAGAGAATGGCGACGTCGAGCTCAATACACACTAGCCCAGAATAGTGGTGATAATTTCTTCAGCATTACGGGCCTGCGTGTGCATCAGACATGGGGTGCGGCCGCCTGTGCAGCCTTTGCACGACTGGCAGCCACCTTAAGTACAAGTGCGGCTGATCAGCCTCCATTACCTGCATCTGAATCACTCATATCTCACCCACCCATTTCTTGTCCGCCTGACCCCGCATGTTCCCCATCCCCAATGCTCAATGACCTGCCTTCTGATCATTTGATGACCTCTCTCCGGAGCGTGTACTGGAGCAAGTGCAGTTTTCACAAATGGAGGAATCTGATAGAAACAATCAACACCAATTTAATCTCCGCGTGCAGTGCAATCCACAAAATTGAATGAACTGGCCCCTACTGTACAACAGAATCATATGATCTTATGGTGCTGCAGCAAGGCTATTGTGCGAACTATGCTGTCAATGTAAGCCTCCTCACTTACAACTGTAACTCGTACACAATTTCTAATTTTGCTGATATTGTCCGCTGGATAGAAGAAGAGCATGCTGTCTGCCCAGAGGATGACAGTACTGGTCCTGGAGTGAACATAAAAGTCTTGTCTATGGCATTTATGGGTAGAAGACTACAACTGCAGCCTGCTCCCCAGAACCACATGCCAGGCATGAACTCAAATATTTGCGTGTACATCCTGTTTCAGCCAGGACAGTTCAGCGCTGTGACCTATGCAGACAATTCATGGGCCTTATGGGACAATGGAGGTAGGGTGCACACGATAAGTAGCATTAACTCCTTCTATAACCAAGTAGCAAATACTCACTCAATTTGGATTGTCCTTCAAGAACAATATGTTACTTGCACCCGCAACCGCTTCAGTCTCTGGAGAGCAATCCGGATGCGCAATTACCTCCTTCCCCTGTACATGACCAAGCAGTGTCCCCTCCCTGTCTAGATCGTGCTCCAGACAATGAAAGAACCTCCTTAGAAGATGGCTGTGACCTTCAGTTCGGTTAGCATGCATAGTGCATAGTCTCTGCTCTGAACACTATCAAGGGATGGTCACTGCCAACCTCTTTCACGAAAACTGCGACTCTTTGTCTTTGTGTTCATCCCCCCCCCCCCC